TTCTCTACCCTCAAACATTTTCCATTGCTTTATCGATCCCATTCTTCACCAGCCGAAGCCTCCAGTAGTTTCCCCCTGTCCATACCAGTTCTGTCTACCGTCCTATCCTGTATAAGCTTCGATCACACGTCAGAGGTATCTCTGTATACTCTTTGAGATGGTTCGCACCTCTATAACTATTCCACAAAACCCTGCAGAGCCGCCTGTGTACGAACGCCACGACCTCCCTTCCCACCATCCAACTATGCTATCCCCCCCTCCTTCTGTCCTTCCGTCTCCTTCCTATCCCTATATTGTAGATACCAACCATCAGCTTTTAACACTTACATCATCATAATGGTTGTTAATAAGAAGCTATCTGATATACTACCGAACACCGCTTAGATAAGACTAAATATTCCTAGTCCTTTTATGACTATACTTTATTGTAATAGCGGTAAAAAGAGAGGGGAAAAGGGATAAAAGCAGCAGGTGTTTTGGTGAGTCTGTTTGTCTATGTGTTGCATCAATCAATGTTCGCAAAGCTCCTTAATTAACACAGTGCAGATTGAGACATTGCCGTATTGTATTTGACCGTTGGAGAAAACAGCAATCTTTCAAGTATAGACTGGAGCAGCAGTCAGATATGCTGTATATCAACCAATGGATTGTGAAACAAAATAGTGACTGAGTTTACCTGTGGTTGTGTCTCCAATCTCTGAAGCATTGTTCAGTCGGTGCTATTTTAAGATGGTGATTTTATCATCAGTTTTGACTGGCCAAGAGTGGTTGATGACTAGTTTTACACTGGTCATCTAATCTGGAGAGTGAATAATATTTGCAGATAACAGACAAGCAATGTGATGGCAAATGATGGAGAGTGGGAGTGTAGCCAAAAACCCCCACTACGGCTACTATACATATTATATTATATAGAGCTGTGAAAAACATCCTCTCGCTGCTGGGCAGGCAGTCAGTAGCCGACGAGCAGGTATATGGTGAAAATATGCAACATAGCTACAGCAGGTTTTCGTTTGATGGCCTGTCTGTGTGTGTCTGTATAACTTTCCATAGTTACCATATATACTGCAACGCAGCAGATACTGGACTAGAAGTGAGCGATAGATAAACGAGAGATAGGGAAAATGGGAGCACCCTTTTTTGTTTTGAGTAATTGCTTCCGCATGATGGCACATTTTAGGCTATTTTCAGGTAATTAATAACATCTGAGTATACAACACGGAATAAGACTTTGAAAGTTGCAAACCAAAACTGCTATCCATTTGCCACCAATAGTGTGGGTAAGGTTTTGTGGAGGTGGTTTCGCTTACAGCGCTGCTGCTCACGGCACCTACGACCACAACTCGAGGCACCCCAGCATAATTTTGTTTACAAACGCACACAGCGGAGGATGCGAAATTAATACCCCTTTGCTGCAAGGACGAAACCCACACTCGAGTCGGCGCACCACATGGACTACAAAGCACGAGTCAATGTACAGCCTGAAGTCAAAAGGATTGGTTTCTAAGGTGCAAGTGCAAGTAAGTATTGCAAGTACAGTGTATATGTGTTAAGTGCAGTGTTGAAGTACATAATGTTTTACTATTGTGCAACATTGAGCAATTAAGTGTGGTGTGCTATAGTATGTAGGAGTACATACAAATGTGTGCTATCCAAATGGATAGCACATATATAGTAAAGTGTGAATGTCAAACCTTGTGCTTTAGCTTAGAGTTGTTTCCAGAGGGAGGGTGGGGATGACGTCCCGGCATCCTGCTTTCACACTGGGTGGGTTTTGGACCACAGATGGAGCTCAACAGGGCACCACCACCACCAGGGGGAGGAGGAAGGGGAACGCAGCCTGGGGCCGCGTGGCTCAGTAACTTGTTGGCTCCGCCCCTCTGCTGCTGCTGCTGCTGCTGCTGTTGGATCTGGAGTTGGTGCTGGTGTCTTGTTAGTGGAGGGGTGGGAGGGTGAGGGTTGGAACAATCTGATCCCTGAAAGAGGAGGAAGAAGAGGAGGAAGAGGAGGGGAGAAAAGGGGTAAACCAGCCGTCGTCAGACACATCATCACAGAACAACAACAACGTAGAGGGAGTCCGACCGCGTCTCTTCGTAAGACACGTACTACCACACATCAGAACACTTCTAGCTGTGTGTTACACGAAACGGACAATACCCTTTCCATGAATAAACTTTGGGACAATAAAGACTTGTGACAAGTTGGCTGTCCATGCAGCAACCTGTGTGAAGCTTGCGTAGGTCTTATATATTGAAGAGCCAGTCAACACACTTACATACTGTATACACCGATTATGATATGCAAGTGTCCCATCAGATAAGGCAAGAAGTATAGGAAGGGAAAGACTCTTCTGGAGAAATTGAAAGTGTAGGAGTGAATACTACAACAGTTCAAGGCAGTGTGACCCATAGGCTAATAGCAAGCTCTCTAAGCAGGCATGCAGTAATACTAACTCTCCAGTTTGGTAGCCTACAACACTGGCATAACACACATCTCTGCCTTCTTCAGATGTTTGAGAGTATATACCAACAGTAATGTGTGTTCTGTAGGTGTTGCTTTTGACCCAAATGCACTGTACTATAGTAGCTTTTGTGGATACAGCATAAAGCAGAGGTGATGGTGTCATTGTCTACCTACTGGGAGTCAACACAACAGTTCAAGGCACTGACTGAAGAACGGTACATAGGGGTCGGGAGGGAAAAAGAGAAACTCTTGGGAGCCAAACTTGGGTATCGTGACCAGTGCACTACACACTGAGCTACAACTCCAGGACAGAAGCTGGTGTAGTTCCACCGTCCCTATAACTTCAAGGCATCAAGTCCCACAGCTCATGCACCATGCAGGTCCAGCAGAGCAAGCAGTGTATGTATGTATGTATGTATATCTTGTCTCTGTGTACAAGCATATAGCAGGAAGCTGTTGGCATGCAGTGGGGAAGAGGCTGACGGTAATTGTGGACTGTTGGCAGTTAGCTCACTCTCTATTTCCTCTGGTTGCCATGACAGCCACTCACATTTCCACCCACGTGCATTCATGTCTCTGCAGAAGCCAGGTAATTATGCAGTCCAGTAGAGGTGACTGTAGTATATCATTTTCCTGTGGATAGTCCATGGTACCCATAACAGGCTCTCAGAAAGCTGTTAAAGTCCAAAGGCCAGGACACACAGTATACGCAATACTTGTGTAAATTTCCTCAATCAGTTAACACTCACACACACACACAGGTTTTGCAAGTGGCTAATGACCCTGGGTATCATTTGTAAGATAAGGAGGGAGGTGGCCAGGACACCAAATACAACTAACAAGCCAACTCCCCAATTTGTATACCGAGGAATCTTCCGTGTCGAGGCACAAAAGAGTTTAACCCCCTCCACCTTCGGTATGTACAGGTGGGGCACAAAGGGCTGTACAGTGTATGTACAAGTGTGAACAGACGAGTGTATTGAGGACTACAGCAGTGTTTTGCCAGAGTCGTGCTGGCTATTAGAGGACAAGGAGTCTGTAGAACAAGCGACTGGGCTGAATCGAGTGTTTGCCAACAATCTCCACTCATTCTCACTGGAAAAGTATGCATTCAACCCGGGCACATTTTTCCCGCCTGGCCTGCAAATTTTGAGAGCTCAAATTCAAATAATTTTGTGTGGGCTGGTGTCAAATCAGACCATGCATAATTGGCAATTAGCAGGCTAATTGGATGGGAGAGCCTACACACGCTCCAGACCGATTGCGAACGCCTACTGAAAATCGATAGAGGGAGGGATTCTATAACCATTTCAACCCAAGATGAGGTTATTATAACCACGGATAGCGTGCAGGTTGTGTGTGTATGTTTTGCTTCCGTAACTCAAAACTTTCATCCACAATTTGTCAAACTTGCCAGCACAGATTTTGGTTTCCAATTGTCGCAATAGCCATAATGGTTAGTGGCTGCATGTTAGTTCTGTCAGTTTTCTGTCGTTTTGGTTTTGTGATATGATACAGTGCAGTCAAAACGCCAGCATATGGCAAAAACTGCAAGTAAAACCTGCTGCCTACAGAAAACTATAATAAACGAACCAACTGGCCACTATGTACATATGCAGGGGCAAAATTATCAGTTCAGGCTCGAAGTAGTTCTCTCGGAAGTGGGAAATTATCATTATAGAATCTTTGTATATTATGCTATGTACCAGATGGGGGTATACATGCTATGGTTTTCACAGCATGTGAATATAGTTTTCCACAGATGCTGGAAGCTATTCATCAGGTATAGATCTGCCACACAAGATGAATATCACAGTGCATGTGCCCTTATACATAATAATTATGAATTACAGGAATGGCAAGCCGGAGCAATGGGATACGGTGCTAATGCATACTATCACAATTGCGTCTGTTACACTACCTATATTTCGCATTATGACTGATTAAGCTCTTTGTTATTTCTTAATCATCCAATTCAAGTCAATATAATCCTAGCGTGGCATCAGAAGCGGCACACACCAAAAAATTGGCACTTTTGTGAAACCTGCTGAAATAGCTCGTGCAAGCCCCTACCTGGATAGCGGAAAACCGATACGCTTCTCGCACACAGTATGCCTCGTATTGGTTGCACTGCTGTCCTCCGTCATAGTACGCAGCAGTCCACTGCGTCTCGCAGTAGGAAAAGTCGTAGCTGGGGTGCTGTTGCTGCTGGCAAGAGTAGCCCACCATCTGGCCCTGTTCATGAGGCAGCAGCAGCGGAGGTGGTGGCGGTGGCTGGTGGTGATTCCCGGGATAGTGAATCAGAGGAGGAGGAGGAGGAGGAGGAGGAGGCTGGAAGCCGCTGCTAGGGCAGTAGAATTCTTCCTGCAGTGACGGCTGGTGGTGATGTTGCTGATGTTGGAAATACTCGGTCTGCCGAGGATCCAGAGGAGGCTCAAAACTACTGCTGAACATGATCTCTCCTGCAATAGCTATGTTCTTGCAAGGGTATTACTAAACCTATAGCCTCCTCACTTGCACGGGCTACCTGCAGATGAAACCAGGCTATATATCAGTTTACTTTTCGACTAGAGTCCTTTTCCTTGGTGTTTGTAGAAAGCTGGCGGATGGTGCAGTGACAGTAGGTTAAAAATTTTTTCGCTGGATGCGAGAAGTGCACCAGCTATTCGCAGTGTCTTTCCCCAACCACACTCAGACAGGCCCCTCCAGTCAGCGATAAAATGCAGCGATCAGTCTCTCTAAAAATGCAGCAGTTGGAAACATGTCCGACTCTAACATGACAGACTAGCAGTGTCCTCCCCGAACCATTCCAAATCCATTGGCTGCTGTTGTTCTCTTTGTTGTCTCTCCTTTCCTCCTTCCTCAAAAACACTCACTCCAGGCTACTGGCTAAACAGACACTGCTAGCAAGTCAACTGGGAAGCAAACTACTGGTGAAAAGAGGCAAGTCCTACGTAGCAAATGGACACACTGAGGTACAGTGAGGTAATTATAAACCGAGCTTCGACTTTGCGTTACTACCACAAATGTCCACCATTAACTATACAACTGCTACAAACGTCTGCGGACGTACAACTGAAACGTTGGACAGAAAACTGCAGTTAAAAACCGTCCCATTCAGTGATTTCACGTCACCACGGACATATGGCGTGCGGCGCTGGACAAACATTCGAACCCGCAAGTCGCAAAAATGAATGTTGCTGGGCCCACTCACAACAGAAGGTGTTAGCGCACCCTTGAAAAATACTCAAGACAATTGTTATTGTGATTGCGGCTAAGGTTTATTGGACAAACATCACCTTAGCAGCAGGCTGACCCTTAGTGGTTGATGTGAAACAGGTTGGAAATTGCATGTTGACATTTTTGGCTAAGTGAGAGGATGGCCACTTGAAGTGCATATTGGCGTGTGTTTGCACCCTGTAAGTGGACAAGACACTTACTCTCTCGCGTTTCAGCCAGCTATATATTTGGGGGAACCTCGCTCCAACGGAGCTGGTAGCGCGTGCACTGCGCACCGTCTGGAGAGCGTGGCTTGTTCCGGGCATGCACGGAGCTCAACTCGCTGGCGTTGATGTTCCATCAATGCCATCACCGACTTTTGTGCTTTTGCAGCTATATACCGGGATTTGCTTGAGTGCTGACATGCACCTGGCTCGTTCGCTCGCTCCGCTGACGCGCGCACATGCTAGCTAGCGACCCCGGCCATTTTGTTCAACTCACTTGTTTCTTTGATGTTCTTGCTGCTGAGCCTCGAGCCAACGATGTGCGAGTCCGTTTAGCTCCAGAAAACTTCATGCATCTCATGTCTCTGCCAACAGTGGAGGAACACTGCGCTTCTCTCGGTCAGGAGTCACTCAGCAGCTACGGTGATCGCCTGAGTTTCTCTATAGCAGTTTGGGGTAGTGGGTAGTAGTTCGGGCGTTCAGGCAGGTCAGTGGAGATTGGATCGAGGAGAAGAGGAGGGGAGTAGTAGTAGTATATACACGTAGCAGAGGAGGGGAGAATACTCGTAGATTGGAATCAGTCGATCTGTCCGTGAGCATCGATAGCAACCTGTGTAAGCAATCCTGCAGGACCAGGCTCTGTTTATGCAAGGCGCAACCGCGAAAGCGGGTGTGGCAACTCCGTTTGAGCCGGACCTATAGTGCCTGCATCAACTCCAAGACCGCTCCTCTCTCGAGTCGGACACTTCGGGATGCAGTGTCCAATGCACCTCCGGCACGGAGCTAAAATACCTGGACATCGAGCGGGCATCGATCGACCTAGCCCGCATTCCTGGTTACGTAATGCGTCCAGGTCGTATTACAACTACAATACCAAAACCGCCAAAATTTGACACTACTACTGCACCTAATTCTGCCGTAACGGACGTGGTAATGCGATGATTTTCACATAGAATGCAGCAAAAAATAAACATTCAAACACTAGTAGTTTGTGTATTACACAGAGGCATAATACGTAAGAAAGTGAGGTCCAAATATTTTTTTTTATTAGAGACAACTCCTCATCGTTTTCTGCCTCCCCTCTCCTTGAGTCCCAGCAGAACCACAGAGGAACCGGAGATGTTATAGAAACCCAGGGAGTTTGAGTCTTTGATAAAGATCGTCTGCAATCGAAAGATGAAAATGAATTCATTATTAGTCTGATAATGTTCAACAATGTGACCCAGGGTAGTTCCACAAATGTAGCACACTAAAATACGTAAGAGTGGCTAAAATCGTTTTACGAAGTTAGTTTCCACCATCATAAAACAGATGCACACAAAAAAGAAGTGAGTGGGTAAAATAAGTGCGTAAGCTTTCTTCACAGGGATACCTTTAGATTAATTATTCCACACATCCCGCTCCCGATCTCACGCCTAGGTGTAATGCAGCCACCAACATGCAGGAGAATACTCTGCGCATCCACTGAAAATAGCCAGCCCAGACAGCAGTGCTCACCACTGCACCACGCTCAAAGAGCGGCCAATCCAAACTGGACCAAGCCCTCAACCCAGTACAAACCCAGGGGGCTCTGATAAGAGAATAGTCAGCTGGACCACAGAAACAGCAATGCCTTTGATGTGAGCAATCTTGCCACATTTAGAACGAGGATTTTCTAGGTGGACACCGGGGCTGCACTACATGATCTGGAGAGAGATAACGCACAGAGGAAGCCACACACCACTTTTGGCTCATGCATTACTGAAGCTACCATAGTTTCAGCGTGCCTGTAAATACCAAACCTGTTTAAAAGCAACAAAAAAAACAAAAGCAGTTGTACACTTGCCGTCGGTCCACCGATGGGTTACCTGATACACAGGATACCACAACCTCTAGCTATGGGGAAGTTATGTACTACTCTATTGACGAGAAAATAATATGAAGAGGAAAAGCGGCTGCTTAGGTTTGATACTCTAGCTGTCACTACAGGAGGCTGATTGTAGCAGTCACTACAGGAGGCTGATTGTCTCCTTTGCCTACACAAACAAAATGGGGGAGGGAGTACACTTGGGACCCTGATATCTACATGATGAACATGATGTTTAACAGCAAGTGAACGCTCGCTCTTGACCTGGAGCAGGCTAGCTGTATGTTACAGCGGATCTGTTCTTCCTAAAGGAATCAGTTGAAGTTGTGGGGAGATGAAGAGTTTTCTAAAGTCATTTCTTCGGCTCGATTTTTCTGTTTATTGTATGACCGTACGTCGTCCAAGTGCACACGCGTTGATATCACACGCTTCTATTATACGAACCACTGTGCGAATGTTAATGATTTACTCTGAGCCCTGCTTAAGCCATTAGTCCAATGTTCTCACAGAACTTTCACATCAGTGGAATATCTGTGTTATGAAGCTACGGACTGCTCAAGCTACTGGTAAGGTTCTGGCTTCTCTAGTCCAGAGCCAGAGAATGCTAAGCATTCTCACTCTACTAAGAGATTGTTTCAAGTTTTAGTGATGATGGGATGTACAAATTAAGAAGGTAATTACTCAGTTGCATTGATTAGTAACATAGGTAGAGCTAAAAAAAACCCGGCAACTATGTTGCAGTGCTGTTGTTTAGGGTTTCATTGACGATATATGTCAGAGGGAATGCTGAACGTATGTACGTACAGGGCTAGACGCAATGAAGGATAGGGCTAAGCTGAAATGTATGGAATAACGAAATTAAACACCAGTCAGCTAAAGAGTAGTTGAGAAGCAAGAAAAAGCTAGACTATTTGGTAAAATCCCAGCGTCTTGGAGTCCATGTGGAGAACAGTAAAGTTAAAGGACTAAAGGCCACATGATACACGATGTAACTTTGTTGAACGAGACAAACTTGAATGCAACTTAAAATATGGGTATGATTGGTCAATAACATGCAATAGATCTACTTCTTGAAAATTTGTTCCATGTTCTATCATTGTCACTGGCGGCACTCATAAAATTAATCGCTTATCTCTGGAAAGGAACAGGAGTGTTGTGAAAAGAGAGCAAGAAAATGAATATGTGCACAGTGCTGGATGGTGGTAGAGTGGTCAAGTAGTGTTTAGTGGCGCTTCAAAGGTGGTTATACAAACACCGGCTGGTCTGTTACACTAACAGTGTAATGGGAAGAAACTCCACTTGGCCAACAGCTGTAGGGGGGAGGGGGGCAAATGCACTTTTTGCTTAGAGCTAGTGAACAACTGCACTATGAAAGTGGCACAACATTGCAAAACCAACGGATTTCTCGTTTTACTGGAAAGTTGGGGAAATTGCAATTGTCAGATAAGTAAGAAAGAATGCTTGGCATGCAAATGAGTACCAAACCACACACAACAACCTCCATCACGTGGCTACACCGTTATACAGTACAAGTGAAAACTGATACAACACATCTAAGTGCCCCCTACATAAACATGCCTCTGAATTGGTAATTGTGATGGCAGAGGCATTTCCCCTGCCCATCTAAGAAGGTGTCAGAGTTCACTGTACATTAAGCCTGGAACTATGATTAACAAGAGAATCCTGGTTAGATATGCACTGTTAGACGGCTTTACTTCCACCAGTATCCATGAGCCATTTTTGGCCATAGTGCATGGAAAGAGAGGACTTACGAATTAACCATTACATCACCACTAACACCTGGGTCTTCACAAGCAGACGCTTACTCTCTCTCCTAGTATCTCAATGTATTTGAGAAGCCAGCCACCTGAAAGAAGCCAGGACTGGGGACTATAGGCCCAGAACTGTGAAACCACATCCAACTGGCAAACGCGATTACTTCCCATAGTGCCTCACCGTGCAGTTACATCCTGGGCCCGGCCCCATGAGTCATACTGGGTAGAATGCTCCCTTGAACTATAAACATACACAGAGCAAGAGTAACCAGCTTGTACACGGTGCAACTCTGAATAATGGATACTGCTGGGACAAGCCCCATTATCCACAATTACAACAGCCATCGTATTATGCTAGTAGAATGTTTGGTGTAGTCCATATTGTGGTGTTGGAACATCTTTCAGCTAATGGTCAGTCAGGGGACTAGCTGTGTCTGTTATGAGGAGGTGCCCCCTTTAATAATAGAGGACACCTCAATCTATAATCTACAGTGCAGGTAGAAGATAAAATGCGGCGTTGGAGAGCACCTCATCCTACCCACCAATTGTGGATCCCAACTGAATTAATTCAAAGTATGACAGTATCATTCTGAACTGTCTGTAATACGAAATGTAGGTGCTGTTGCATGCATCGCGTACTACAATTCTTCATCTCAAATCTTGAGACGGAGGTATATGTGGTGGGTGTTGACCATTTCACGCTCGCTGGCCATTAGCATGTCCTTCACTCATCAGTGGATCACAAACCTCCTCCCTCCCCCAAAAACACACCATTTCCACCCCAAAATAATAGTCATCAAAACAATACTATGGCACGAAACGTGGGGCCATCTTTTCTGAACATGTTCAACCAAACTCTCTTATAAAAGACACCCTTCGATGGATTATGACCAATATCATCATCATAATAGTGCTATAATATAGTATGCTCATCCATTAATAAACAAATAGGGTGACCCGTGACAGTCTGAGAACACCTTACACCCATAGCTATGGCTACGGGTTAAGAAGACACAGCCCTCTGACAAAGTAGGCTGTTCTGAGAAATTACAAACTTCCACCATTTATAATTTGCCAAATATTATAATGACCACGACCATAATAACAATTTATCCACTACCTGTAATAGGAACCCTGTAATCAGTGTGTGTATTAGACATTAAAAAGCTTGCAAACGAGTACTAAAGAAGTTTCTCTCAGTTTATCTCACTCAGACAATGACACACACACACACGCACACACACACACAAACACACAAAGAAAATCAGGGGATGCACACAGCCATGTTTACTCCTGCGTGTAACACTGAGATCAAATGTCAGCCATCAGCTGGGTCTTCTTGCTGTACGTGAGACCAGAAGGGCTTCACCTGAATTATTGTTCTCTCTTACTACCACCAGATGGGGGCTCCACTACAGATGCAAGCATACCATTCCAGTCCTTGTTCACATACACATACACACACACACACACGCAGAAATGGTAAAATGCATAATTCATACTGTTACATAGTAATAGTGGAAGACATTTCGATGCTTTGTAGAGATAATGCAGAGAAACAAGCGATAGCTCGAATTTCACTGGAATTTATTGCGTGACAATGTTAAGAATGGAGTATAATACTTGAAGAGTAAAAGTGCTGCCGAGGACGGTATTGCTGATGAACATAAAATAACTAGTGCACAAAACCTCACAGCTATTAGGAACATTTTTTGATGATCTAACTACATCATCATCTATCTCGCGACCACATAAGGGCAACATATGTACTGTCATCCTGTGATCACTGCTTCTTCACACAGGTCCAATATAGACTAGGGTTAGAAGACGACATCTGAAACCGGAACTAGGGCCCTCGGATGCCCTTCTTTAATTGACACACCCTGTGATCTAAGCCGGCAAGGGCTGAGGAGGAACCGCTCAAGATGCTTTCGCATTAATTTTTCTTTTCATCTATTGTGAACAAAGCCCTATGGCCCTGCGCTGCGGACACAAAGGAACATCTCAAAAGGTTTTTCCGGCGGCTAACAAAACTAGACAGCCCTGCGACCCTGATGGACAAGGGCCGCAACGACCGCCGGAACTGCTGCACGTTCCTTCGGCTGATCGCTATCAATGTCTTTTGTTAATGAAGCCATGCGACATGCGGGCAGAGGTTAAGGGGTGTAGATTAACAATACTTACAGCCGAATGCACCAGCCACAGCCCTAAAACCATGTGTGCACCATCTCTTCCTCACTTACCCTCAAGGGCTAGAGGAAGAGTATTTTTTTTAATTCTCGGTAAACATTTTCACCAACGTGAAATTAGCCCCACAGGGTGTAATGAGGAGATGAAGAGGAACTCATGCAAAAAAAGGCCCAGTAGAGAGTAGCATTACAACGAGGATTTCTGCCTGGATCAAAACATTAGGCAGACTCTTCACTCCAATAACTTGAATCACTACAAGTAACCTCCAGTGCAGCGGGGCCTTTAAGCCTAAGGTCTTCCTGCCAAACTTGGCGTTTACTACCTACTGAATCTGGCGTGACTCACACCAAAAGAGATACCATAGCGTTCCACCATAGTTTGAAGATGATGGGTGCTTAGTATAAGATGCAACGTATGATCTTGTAAAAGGATAATTATACAAAGAGATTGTCTCTTATCACACACACAGACCTACAGCCTTTCTCGCGAGCATCAACATCTGCATATGGATACACAACGTGTAGGGTTTTCATGAGTCAGCCCCTTTACTCTTTATGTGTCATGCATCCAATAAGGTCGGCACTTCATCATTAACCCTCGGCCTGCATGCGCAGTGAGGGTTACGGTACTTGTTTGTATGCGTGTCTGTCATTCTGCAAGCCTGGCAAAAGCTGATACCAACGAGGTAAAGTACGCAACTGGCTTGATATTTTTAAAGCGAATTTCTTAATTGCCACTGTCTATCTCGGCCGGATTCTGCCCATATTGTGCACTTTTGAGGCATCAGAAGTTAGAACAGGCGCGAGTCCCATAATTCATAAACCACTATCTGCCTAGCCATGTAAGACTCTCACAGCGAGCTAGCGAGAAACCACAAACAATCGACAACAGCAGGGTGGCAGAGCCCATCTACTGACACACACATGCATACGGGTGTTGCAATGCTATTCGCACATGGTTCTAGTGTACTGTGGGTTTGTGTTTTTGACTGCTTTAATTGTATGTATTTGTGCTACTCTCAACGATTTCAACTCGGGAATAGGATCAGAATCACTCACTGAGAATATTTTTTGAGCGAGGGGTCCCAAATAATGTACAAACACTGCCCGCATTAAATTTCCATTTTTGCTCCCTCCCAACATTTGTTTGTGACACACCAATGTGACTCAGACAAAGATACGGATCCTTCCCCTCTCCCCTCTCTCCTCTCTCTCCCTCTCTCCTCTCTCTCCTCTCTCCCCTCTCTCCTCTCTCTCTCTCTCCTCTCTCCTCTCTCCCCACTCCATACACATGACAGCTACTGAGGCACCTTGTTCACTGAGAGGTCAGGTACGAAACAAAGCCTAACGCGAGAAGAAAATATTTCCACGGCACAAAAAAAAAGTTTCCACGCTATTTACACACAGTCTTTTTCCCCGCATGTAGACCCACTTTTCCAACAGTGGCCACTTTGGTCGACACACGGCACAGTTTCCAAAGTGGTTGAAACACTGGGAAGTGGGTCCAACAGCGCCTCTGTTTGCAGACCGGCAGCTTGCATGCTGACACACACTCAACGTGAGTCAACACACACTACGGAGGACACGTCTGTGTGGCACCACTACACCACCATGAATAGCCAAAGAGGAATCAAAAACACAACCCTGGAATCACCGGTTCACAACTCCAGGCAGTGTAGCTTGTTTGTAGCAGTGCACAATTTTGTTGCTTCGTCTGCATTTTGCCCAGGTTTGTGAATGGCTGAAGCAAATGGGAAGCATACCGTATTGAGCACTCGTGATGCAAAGGAGCATGTTAATATACAGTACGAACAAATTTGTTTTCTGTGAAGCTTTGTAAAGTATGCCATTGACTCCGGCTATCTGCAAGTCATTGCTACATACTTTACATAGTGTATACAATTTTCTAGGCTACTCGTGGCCTCTCTTATTATCTACAATTAAAATTGAGCTGCAAAGCACGCATTATTTTCGCATAATAACTGAATATACATGTGTGCTAATTTTCTCCTTTTACAGACATTCCACCAGGTTCTCTAGCTATGTACCCATGCATTTCCTATGGCAAAAAAAGGTGGGCAAGTGAATTAGAAGAACAATGGATACTGCATTAGGCAGCTCTAGAGATTTGTGAGTATGCAGTGTGTGTGTGTGTCTGTGTCTGTGCATGTGTGAGTGTGAGTGTGTGTGTGAGAGAGAGAGAGTGTGAGTGTGTGTGTGTGAGAGAGAGTGTGAGTGTGTGTGTGTGTGAGTGTGAGTGAGTGTGTGAGTGTGAGTGTGTGTGTGTGTGTGTGAGAGAGAGAGTGTGAGTGTGTGTGTGTGAGTGTGAGTGAGTGTGTGAGTGTGAGTGTGTGTGTGTGAGTTTCGTGGACTGGAACTGATCCTGGGCCACCAGTGTACACAAGAAACCAGGTCAGAAAGACTGACAATGGAGAGGAGCTCTTTCAGAGAAGCCTGCCAAGGAAACCCTCACCACCCACACAACTACAACCCCACCGCCTGCTATTCCAATCTCCAGTCTCCAGACTCCCCATGCACGTAAGGATTCTGGAATGCCTAAGGAAATAAGGCTAACAGCCACTTCAGCCACCAAATCTGATAAGAAACACGCAGCTCCAGCCAAAAGATCATGAACACCAAACTACGTTACCCCTCTAGAAAGTCACCCCACAAGAGTCTTACCGTTGGCTTTTTTGGCAGGCAGAAACTAAAACCAATATGGATCATAAAATTAAGGTCACTATTGCTGTGCATAAATATTTTCACATGTATTGTTTATTGATCAGCTTTGACAACACACATCCGCAAGATTGCAGCTTAGAGATAATAACACCCTCCAATCTAGTCACATCAAGATAATTATTATACCATGCCACAAACACTACAGTTGGATAGTGAGTGATAGCACCCTAGGGTGGATGGGGATTACTAAGATGACAGTATCTATAGTCCATTCAAGTTCAGAATGCATGTTGATTCTCTCGAATAACTTAATTACCCTTTACTCTCATGGTGCCATTGTGTAGCTCTTAAAGATCCCGTTCTTTTACTCTTGGTTTGGTACAAATCGAATTCATAGTTTTTGCGTGACATTAGAAAAACCCTCCTTTTCAATGTATGGCAAAGAAGTGCATTCTCAACCTGAACATACTATAGTAAAATCTATAGGAGTTCATACACGATACTTGTGACTTGGTTGTTTTGAAGGTGATGCTAATGAGGGCAAAGGTATATACAGGAGCAGTGTCGAGAACAACTCCACCCTTGGGCAGAGTGTATATACACTGCCAGCTCTTGGAAGACCACTGGAGTGAATCAAATCAAGTGCTACTGGTCTGTTGCTAACAAAACAGAGCTAATACTCTAAATTGGCCAGGTCAGCCTCAGGTAGAGTGAGTGATTGGGGTACCCCCACCACCAAATGTAGCCTAGGTGGGGTGGGCCACTTCCTGTGTCTGAGTATTTAAAAACCTATGTATTCTTTCACACCAGGCAAAGGGTATATAAGAGTTTTTATTCTGGATAGTAGCCATACAAATGGAGAAATGTGAGAAATGCACTTTAGGAGTTTTCTCTATAGTATAATGACGAATTTACTGGCTTTTGAAGTCTTTGCTTGCATACAGTGTTTGTTGCAAAATTATCCCCACTGGGGAGTGTATGTTTGTATGTTATGCGGAGTCTGCATGCGACAAGCCTATAGTGCACAGGCCAGCATGAGCTAACAGACATGAGTTCATTCGTTCTGTATCACACAGCTGGAGCATGATGATAAGCCAGCCCTCCTCAGCGTATACTACTGACACGTAAGACTTCAGCTGAGCTGTACAGGGCATCCCTTCGCCACACAATAGGAAACTGAATACAATGTGAGCTGCTCAGTCCACGGAGGAACAGTGCACCTTAATTTCCTGCTGAGAAATTTTAAAAGAGAGTCTCAGAGAGGATGTGAAGCATGCTTATAGGCATGTCTTGGTGTGCCTCGTGCAGTAAAACTACTACACTGTAAGTTTCCCATGGTTAATGATATCCTGGGGAAAACAGGATGCTCTGTGCAAACCAGCAGTGCATGTCCATCAACCACTTTATGCACATGCTGCACACATACGCTTGTTCTAGTCGTACAATGCTTAATGCGCATGCAGGCCTCCTTAGCTCAGCAGGACGAGTTAGTTGCTGCTCCTACCCCTCTACCACTGTTTACTCTGTCAACCAGACAGAGAGAGAGAGTGAGAGAGGATGTTACTGCTATCAAGACTGCAACAATTAGTGGTAGGGCTTCGTCAGTAGTAAGTTATCAGATCAAGATAGTTGCCAGGGCAACCCGAATAACCACAATTGCTAAGATACACTACTTTTTACGGAAATCGTTACACATACATTGGAAATTGCAGAAGCCTATTGTAGAAGGGAACTTGATACTTAATCACCACTATAATCAGTTGGTAATGGCTCAGTTACAAGTACTTTCTTCACCTCACTTTCTTGATAAAAAATCCAAGTAAGTGAAGCTGCTTTTGCAACTTCATAAATTTCAAAAGCTAAATTAGGCTCGACCCGGAAAATCTATTTGTCACTCATTCGGTAAGCTTAGCATGAACAATAATTATCCAGAGAAAGAAAGAAGCTGAGTAAAACAATTTCTTGTGGAAATGTCTTGTGACCAGAAGAGAGGTTGTAGCCTGTTCCACCCAGTGGTCTGGATACTAGGTAACTCAATTAGAGCCAGGTAGTACTCAGAGCGGCAAGACAGTAACTCACTTAATGAGGACACAATTTAGAATCATTTAAGAGCTTCCCTCAAACCATACTCTTACAGGAGACAAAGACTGATCACCTACTCTGGGTAGCTCAGAGCATAGGTAAACCATTTGAGATACAAGATTTTGTCAAGGGCGTAGTTACTGTGCATGCACAGGTATACTGTTGAATATGAATACATCATATTGTACGTACCTCATGTGACAAACTTGCACACAAAGCACACGATGTAACAGAGAAAGTGCACGATAATGTGATAATTTGATACAAGAGCTTTCCATGTACTAGGCACAGACTTGTGAGATTTCGCTTACCCCGATCTGCAACTTTTGCTTCCCGGATGGCATACCAAACTCGGTGGATATCTTAGCCTTGATGACTGAAACCTAACACAAACAAAGACAGCATGAAATAAGGACTAACTGATTTACATGTTGTACCTTAATCCCCCAGCCCCTAGCTACAGGTTCCTAATTTGTGCAATACTAATAATTGTGTATATAAGATAACAATGTCTGTGTAGCTAGGCAGCCTGAATGTGTTTGTGTGTCTCACATAAAATACTTGGAGAGACAGAGATAGTGAGAGAGAGAGAGAGATAGAGATAGAGTGAGAGAGTGAGAGAGATCTCACTGGGTCAGTGATTGGTAGGGTCATTGTGATCAGTTGACCATTCATCTTCCACTCCGATCGCTCGGGGAGATTTGGTACATGGACCCGGAATGTGACGGGGCCCTGGAGTGGGCGGGAGAGGGGGGAAGAGATGAGGGAGGGGATAGAGGTAAGGAGGGGAAGGAGGGGAAGGAGAGGAAGGAGAGGAAGTGGAAAAGGAAGAGAAAAAGGATGAGGGTCAAGGAGACAAGAATACAGCAATTTCCCAAACTTTCACCCCAGCACCAATCCATTTGACACACCTAGACACTTCACGGGTACATTGAGCAAAGAAACAGGCACGAATTATATTGCATGTCAAGTTAGGCTCGATCTTAAAAGCAGTAAAAATGGCTACACCCTTGATTGCATTACATTAACATTCATTACCAACAAAACAGGCATGGATTGCTATTCCAGGGAGGACCAGACACAACACATAGAAGCAGGTGGCGCAGGAATCCACGTAACTCCGGCAGCCCAGGTATTCCCATTACGACCACACTCTACAAACAGACTCTGCCTGGGAGTCTTTGATAACAATTCAACACCTCTTCCCCACAGTCGCTCCACTGTGTACAGAGCTGTATGTTGGGCATTGGGAATGCACTGTGACCACCAGAAACACACTGGAGGATGACAACATAACGTGGGTCCCAGCAATGACTGCTGATTGACTGCCCACATCCATCCTTTGGTGGTGGGCGGCACTTCCTCCACCAGGGATGGAGTGTGGCGCTCTCCTCACACGTGCAGTATACCGGCTTCATTTCAAACTTAGAGCAAAGAAGACGCAATGTGGTAGCATGGCCGTGGTGCTACCTGATGCTCAGGTTAAGGCTACCTACTCATAGCGGGAAACGAGATTGAAAATGTTTTGATTTGAGGGTAATGCTATCTTAGTGCTATCTTAGTGCAAAGAGTCTTGAGGCCCAGGCTACCATTATTCCATAGCGGGAAATGTTTAAGATTTGAGAGTAATTTGTAGCCGTTATCTAAAGTCCTTATTACTTGGGTGGCTTAATATACTGCAACTTAATGTATGAGCAGTGACAAATTGGACCCACGCAAAACCTGAAATCGTTCACAATGAAGGTTCATTTGAGCCTCCCCCATTAAGGACCTGATGTCTAGCAAGAGATGCTTCTCGGACATCATATTTACAGAGCTAACTGTGAGGCTGGCATTGAAGCACCGCGAGATTAAAGAAGATGTCCATCTTTACATACATTGCCTTGTGCAATCTTCATACACAAAGTGCAGGTAAATAGATTATTGCATGGGAAAAGGCTACATGTATTACAGTTCAGCTCATTGGTGGCAAATACGGGAAGTCAAATAATCCAGTCAACTTGGAACCCAGTAATCAGCATGCATTGCTTGCTTTGACTATACATAAAAAAAGGCAATGACAACAAGTGCCATCCCAGGCTAGGAAATCTGCTAGAATCCCAGAATAAGATTCATATCATTGGAGGATGACACCAGGTGCATGCATCCATAACATCCCAGACTAGGAAACTGTGGTGCTTTTTCGCCAGTGGTAAACCACGTTTACTCTGACAGTTAGAATCCAGTATTCCTGTCCGCCTACAATTGGTACTCTTGCTTTGATCAGCAGAAAAACATCGACAGTGAGTGAGGAGCTTCGAAATCTTCCATCCCAGAGCAGGAAATCCGTGATGTTGGGAGCAGGAAACGTGATGTTTTTGTGCCAGAGGTAAAGCACCATTACTCAGTTAGAATCCCAAAACATACAAACAGAGTCAGAGCAGGAGGTGAGTCAAACAAGCCGGATGCATGCGTACTATATGTAACAACAATATATCCTTTCAAATGTCATGCAATAGGAATGAGGTAGTTAGGAGCTCTATTGTGATGACAATACCATAACGCAAGGGCTTCACACGATCAAAGCTAGCAGGTAAACACACACACACACAAACAATTCATAGACAAAGAGGTATATAACATGTAGACATGCTCAGAATGTTGTGTTGATGTTGGGGTTGTGTCTGTATGCGTGAAAAGAGGGGTAGAGGATTGTGGGAGCTTGGGGCCTCTTTTTCCTCCTAGTGTGCTATATAGACACATGTCACATGTAGAACTTTCATTTCTTGCCCAACGCATTAATTGACAGAGAGTAAGCTCGGTTAACCGTAAGCTCAGTATACTTTTGTGCAACTGAAATTGGCGTGGGAGCATTACACATTTACAATAGCAGTGAATAACTTCAGTGATCTGCTGTTCTGTGTGTAACTCCCTTCGTCGGCAGAGCACGCAGATTGCAGTTCCCACGGTATTTTACAGCGGAATCATAAATCCACAAATGCTTTCTCTACATGAAATGCTTTGAAAACCACTAATGGCTTTCTCCCTCGAAAGATTCCAACTCTATGTTGTACAACACACAGTAATATTATACTGTAGTACAAAGGTCTCACCGGATGTTCGGCGATGAAATGCTGCTCGGGAATGAGGTCGTCGGCCTCAGATCGGACCTTCTTTGCCATAGGTGGAGCCATATCGGGGCTGATATCAGGGGCAATGTTGATGGGGGGAAATGGTTGCAACCCTCCTGCAGCACACACACCATGCAGACAAAAGAAATGCAGTATAAACTCCACCCTTACTAATGAAAAGCACTACAGTGCAAACCCTCGATGCACTGCGCATGCGTGGGTACTACTAATTGATGGGCTGGGCTATTAGTATGCGTTTACTCGTGGTCTCCATGCTAGTAGCTCACGGAGAGTCTGACCCGGGCTAGCTACACTAGTGGATAGTATGCGGGAGTCGATACACACCCTTCGTTGTGACTTCTTGTGCCTTCAAGATACACAGAGTGAGCGGATCAGATCAGGCATCGTAGACCGTATTGCCAGAACAAGTGTCAACAAACAGACAGACAGACAGATCTGCAAGTACTGTAACCTTTACTGTGCATGCACGGAGGGTTAACTAGTGTATGTAGCTGCTACACATAAACTGATTTGATTTGTGCTAATTAGACTCTACCCACACACAAATTAGATTTTCCAACTAATTATGCATACCTTATTTGTATGATTTTTAGTTATTAAGTACTGATTTGACAATACTTGCATTTCAATGACCTAAGTTTTACTAGAAGCAGACTATACCTCACGTACAAAGGTAGCTCAGTTGGTAGAGCGCTCGCCTAGACTGCAGAGTGTCGTGGGTTCAAATACCACCTAGGGCAGCTCTTTATTTTTCCTTGGAAAAAAAAGCTGTCCTAGGTGTAGTTGATTTGTTTGTTATGCCTTTGCCTTTCTACCTCGTAGTTTTCACATACAGTAGTAAATTGAACGGCATTTATTATAAGTCAATATCTATATGTTTCACACCTTGTCTAATACTTTGGCACTCAAATTGTGATAGGTGAAAAACATTCCTGGCATACTAAGTAAAATACTTAGGTTTACAGTATAAATTTCTAGGTGGCGTTTTGGGAAGCCGGTTTTTTCTGAAGCCCTTATTTTACATGCTAATTCTTGGGCCACCACTGCACTATAAGGGCTACGTAGTAGGTTCACGATATGTCACATTGCCTCATCGCGCCGTGCCGCGTCGCGTCCTGCCACAAAGATATGGATTCTATCCTCGCGCACGGCGCGAAGCGACATATTGTGAACCTTGCCTAAGTAATCCCTGCTTCCAAACACAAACTCAGTCCAGCACATAAAGAGGCTGAAGCTATGGGGTTGGAGGTGGTTATGTAGTGAGTGTGTACATACCCGGAGGAGGTTGGAGGAGAGGTCTGGGGCCCGGGCCTGGACCACGTGGTGGAGCACCGTGCTGCATGGGGGGCCTCCCTGGTCCAGGCTGTATGGTGAGGAAAGGGAGAGAAGGAGGGAGGGAGGGAGGGAAGGAGGAGGGGGGAGAGAGGGAGGAAGGAAAGGGGCAAGAATAGGCAGGAGGAACAAGTAAAGAAGGAAAAGGGAGGAACGGGTAAGAAGACGTATAAAACCCAATGAAAACCAAGTCAAAGAAGCAAGAGGGAAAGGCAAAAGAGATGTGGAAGGTTTGAGTCACCTGGAAACCCATCTGATGAGGAGGAGGCCTGTTGCCCAGCTGACCAGGCATGGAGGGTGGGGAGGAGAAGAGAGGCCGTGCTTGCGGCTGCAGCAGAGAGAGAGAGAGAGAGAGAGAGAGAGAGAGGCTACCAACAGCAGATACTTGAAATATATTCCTCTAGATGCCGCAATACATGTACTGCTATACATTGACACTGTATAACAATGTACGTACCATATGTTGAGAAGGGTGGAGATGGGGGCGTGTATGGGTGGGCGGACTCTGGCGGACCGGGGGAGACTGGATCTGGGGAGGAGGACGAGAACCCGGGGGAGGGGGGCGGGGCGGTGTGGGGAGGGGGAGGTGGGGAGTGGGAACGGCCGAAATTCCAGCTGGGACGGCGGGACCAATTTTGTCCTTCTCTGGATCAGGTCTTTAGATAGAGAAAGAGAGAGCGTGTGTGTGTGTTCATTTCTTCAGGGGGTGGGGGGATGTTTGAGCCATAGTGTTTGGAAGGGCAAGGGCATTTTCAGGGGGGTGGGCAAATGTTCCCTCTTGCCCCCCTCCCCCCTAGAAAAAAACCTGACAGAGAGGTGACACACACACACACACACACACACACACGTAAACTTAAAACCAATGCAACGTATTTGGATGAGCGAATGCAACTAGCAAGTTTTCAAACACCCTTACATGATGCCACGTCATATACAATGTCCAGAGTGAGCGCGTCGGCTAAATCGTTGTAGAGAAATCGAGTTTAGTCAACTAGGTTAACACACTTCACTCACCAATTACAGCTGTAAGCAAGTTTTTAGAGTGCGACACATTCTACATGATGTAACGTAAAAATGTGCATTGTCCAGAGGTACAGCGTAAGACACATACATATATACATAGTCTGAGAGAAATTGAGGAGTTCAGATTACTAGGTGAGCACGCTACACTCGCCAATTACAGCGGTAACACTATCGCCGACCACGTGAAGAAACAAAACCCCTATTGTGCAGTAATTTTAGTTACTGGTCGTAACAGGCAATTCTTGTCACACATTAGTCTAGAGTGTCAGGAATGGACAGGTTTCCTTGCAGGGAGAGAGGGAGGAGGTTAATGAGGCTCACATGAGTCCGCGGGACTTCTGGTGGGCCTCGACCTGTGCTGCAGTGATGTGGGACTGGGCGGCGTGCTTCACGATATCCGCACTAGATGGCCATAGGAACAATTGGGGGAGAGGGAGAGGGGGAGGGGGAGGGGGAGAGGGGAGGAAGGGAGGACAGGGGGAGGAGGGAGTATGACTTAACAGAGCCTATGTATGTCATCAAAACACCACAAAAAGCATACTTCAATACACGCACATACATACATAACGGAGAGATACAGGGAAAGCGGGAAAAGGTTTGGGGCTAGGGCTAGATACACCTGAGAGGCACCTGAGAGGCACCTCGTGTTTACAAAAGTACTTATCGGCTGAGCTACATGTTCCCCTAGTTGGGGGAGGGAGAGGGGGAGAAGATGAAGAGGAGGAGAGGGAAGAGAGGGAAGAGGTAGTGTGACATAAACAAGCCTACATACGTCCTCAAAACACTGTAGCTGTTTAGCCAAAAGAGGGACACCAAGGAAGACAGGGGGGAAGTGAGTTGTAAAGGCTTTGGGCTGGAAAAAACCTGCAAGGCACCTCGCAACTACAAAACCGCATACTTATCGGCTGAGCTAGTTTGTGCAGTGAGCAGTAGCTGCTTAAACTATTATGAGGTGTAATTGTGCAGTTAGACAGTGAAAAGAAATACGAAAAAAGAGGAGTAAAAATAGTGCAGTTAGACAGTGAAAAGAAATACGAAAAAAGAGGAATAAAAATAGTGCAGTTAGACAGTGAAAAAAAGAGGAATAAAAATAGTGCAGTTAGACAGCGAAAAGAAATACGAAAAAAGAAGAATAAATATAGTGCAGTGAGAGAGTGAAGAAAAAGGAAAAATACCTAGAAGCATGTCCGTCCCACTGAACAGTTGGCTTGGCAGACCTGGTTCTCCCTTCTCCAATCTACACTTGCAGAGAGCACACACACACAAGCATGTGGTCAGGTATGGCTAGCTACAGACCCACACACACTGAGCCACCCACTTCATACACTTACAGTGGTAAACATTACTGGATGACTAGAGAGATGTGGGCACTTGAGGTGATAATTGTCTCCAGAGGAAGATGTGTCATGCATAGTACACATACTGACATTTCACACGACATTACTTCGACTGACACTCCAAGTCAGAGTAACAAAATTTTCCAGATAGTAATGAACAACAGAGTATACACCAAAAACCCATTTGCCTGTTTTCTTAAGGCAGAATTTTCACCATTTGAGACGCATCTATACGAGAATGCACATTGAGTCAGGTATAAATAATATGTACATGCAATAAATTGGTGCTTATTACACTCCCACATGAAGTTCCCTGGTTCTTAGCTACATATATATACATACTACACACAGAGTCAGAGTTATACATTACCTTCTGTCCAATAAGAGTTTCCTCCACTCCAAAGATATCAGTTCTTCGCTCGGCAAGGTTTTTCAGACTAGCCTGCACCTGTAGGGAGACACAATTATACATAACATTTGTGTGGCAGAAGAGAAGGAGAGATGGGGAGAGATGAGGGAAGTGATCAGGAAGGGAAGAGCAAAATGAAGAAGAGAAGAGAGAGAGAATTGATTTAGGAGGAGAGAGGGACAGTAGGAAAGAGGGAGGTAAGGAGGGGAGGAGATCAGGAAGGGAAGAGCAAATGGAAGAGAAGGGAGAAAGGGAAGGATAAGATGAGGAAATGAAAATGGAAGAGAAGGGATAAAGTTGAAAGGAACATGAGATAAAAGGAATGCTGGGATTGCAGCTTTACTTGCACTCCAGAGAAGGCTTCTTCGTTCTTCTTATCCTGCATCTGCCTCCGCTGGTTCTCAATCCAGCGAGGGTCCAGCAGACCTGTAGTGTGTCCCGTACAACACAACACTCACACCCAATATTATGACTCTCTCTCTCTCACACACACACACACACAAAGTCTCTGTCCCCAATACACAAAAAAACGGTGAATTGGAGGGGTTACGTGTGCATAACGTGCTAATGTCCAGTGACTTGTGCGAAAGGTAAAGTGCTCCCGAATTCTCATTATACACCAATAATAGCAGAAAGGGGAAATGTCCATTGCAGACATTAATACTGATACAGTCCACAGAACATTGCCCCTAGAAACATTGCCCCTCCCCCCACCAACCCACTTGCCACACAGACGTCACATATGTACTTCAGTGGTTAAAGCAAGGAGATTAAAAAGGGTCTCCCTACACATTGATATACACAGCTAAACCAAACCCACCGTATCTCATGTGTTCCTCGATCTTGTTGGCCGGGATCTTCTCTCCGGTGATGGGAGAGACGAGGAACTGCTGTGGAGGGGCAGCCTGGGACGGAGGGGGACCCGTCGTTTTCGGATTGTAGTCCCTAGTGCGATAACACAAGAAAAACACAAGAAAAATCCCAGTTTGTATCAGTTTGCAAATTGCACAGTGCCTGTGGAAGTCTGCGACATGTTGTGGAGGGACAAACGTAACGCAATGACGTTCTGTTTTTGCGACTTTGAATTGCATTGCGTTGCTGGCTCCTGTGACGTTGAATTCCTCCTTCATCACTTGGTCATACTTCACTATATCAAATCCCCCCTCACGCAGCATGATGAAGAGGAGCGTGCCCATAAAAACTCATATCACATTTTCTGTCCTCAAGAAAATACTGTTATTTAGCAACCAAACTAAGTGGAACAGTGAAGAGGTGGCAACGATTTGTGAACCAGACTTATTAATAGCACAATGTATTCTCTGGTTTGTTTAATAATGCTCTGCAAAAAAGGAATTGTATACATAATTGTATCCACAAAAACTAATATTTCAAGAGTTTCCCGAACTGACCTCCTGATCTGAACGGAGGAGGTTTGCATGGAGGAGGAAGGAGGAGGGGGAAGGGGAGGAGGGGAGGGCGGCTTTGGAGGTGGAGGAGACCTCTCTTTCTGTGAGTGAGGACAACACGAGGCAGTAATACACACCAACAAACCTTTAGTAACGGCTTTTTAACGTGGACGATTCTTTCCTAAACAGAAATTGGTTTGTTCTCCCAGAAAAATTATGAAAAGTTAATGTTGCTTGATGGTAGAAATGGCTCTAAGTTGACTGCTTTGCCTCAAGTGTAGACCAGTTATGTGTAATAATATAGCGGGGAGTAAGCCATACATAATATAAGGAGGTTGCACACCCAAAACAGGTTAAAATTCAATACCACCCCCCCAAGATGCCATGCTACACACACTGACTCCACCCTACCGACAAAAGAGGAACAGATACCTATTAAGGTGGAAACAGAATACATCTCTCTCACTACACTACGCATGCCACAGTCTGTGAAACAGGCTCCAAGGAATTCAGCCACGAGTGTGTGAGAGTGTTTGTGTGAGAGTGTGTTTGTGTGTGAGGGAGTAGCAAGTGAGACCTGTCACTGGGGTTTCAACCCAGCTTCACAATAGGATATCTATTGCACAATGCTATACTATGGGACTGTACCTGTAGCTCTAATAAATGGCTACAGTGGAACCTCCGATAAGGGACCCTCCGAGATAGGGACGACCTCTCTACAAGGGACACTTGTTTCAACCCCATGCTAACACTTTAGTGTATTATTTGACCTCTGAGATAGGGACAACCTCTCTACAAGGGACACTTGTTTCAACCCCATGCTAACACTTTAGTGTATTATTTGACCTCTGAGATAGGAACGACCTCTCTACAAGGGACACTTGTTTCAACCCCATGCTAACACTTTAGTGTATTATTTGACCTCTGAGATAGGAACGACCTCTCTACAAGGGACACTTGTTTCAACCCCATGCTAACACTTTAGTGTATTATTTGACCTCCGAGATAGGGACGACCTCTCTACAAGGGACTAAATTATTGGCCCCATAGTGTCCCTTGTTCAGAGGTTCCACTATGACTGACTCAGGAATGTGTACATGTATACTACTGTATGTAGCTCTAATAAAGGGATGATGTAAAACCTGTTTCTCCTCTGGTTGGTCTGTTGCTTCTTCGACTTCCATCTCTATCTCTTCAACCTCACCTCCTGACAGGAGGGAGCAAAGGAGGGAGGGAGGCAAGGATAACGAATGGAGGGGTGAATAGGAGAAGAATGAGAGGAGGGGGAGGGGGAGGGGGAGGGGAGTAGAGAAAGGAGGGAGGAGGAGAAAAGAGAAGCGAAAAGGTGGGTGGGAGAGGAAGGAGGGAGAGAGAGATGAGAAAGGAGAAGGGAAGAAGTTGAGCGAAGACACTGAGAGACAGGTAAATGAGTGTAGTACCATCGTCGGCAACTCTCTCATATTTCTGTTGCTGCAGGAGTCGTTGTGCTAGTTGTGTCGGACGTATGGGTGGTGGTAGGTAGCCTGCAACACACACCACAAAACACTGCTAAATACACCACCTCACAAGCGTAGTAGTGTTTTGTACATATATATGCTGGTTCTTGGTGAAAAACTGTATATGTACATTTACCTGTTTCTGTTTCTCTGAAATTGACTGTCTCGACAAGAACAAACTCATGCCAGTCCACCTGAGAATACTCAACTGCAAAAAAGTTACACAAAGGAAGAGATATATGGCATCAATATACAGAGGGTCGAATATACATGCAGCATATAGGGAGTATGGAGCTAATGCAATGCTGATTTTTGGCAAGCGAATGCGAGATTCACATTTGGCCATAAGCGATTGTAAAATATGGCATGTCTGTCGATTTTGAGTTACGTCAAACATTTATGTATAGTGTGACAGTGCCCATCGTGTGATATATATTACTGTTACAGAAAGTTCAGATGACCAGTTTTGTTTATAAACAAACCTCTCTCTTTCTCCTGCTTCTCCTCCACCTTCCTGCGCTGCCTGTCTTGGTACTGGGTCCACTCCACCCTCTGCTGAACGCGATCCAACACCTATATATGTACACAGAGCACACACACACACTGACGTAGTGGGAAGAGGTATTGTGTATAATATGTCGAGGATTGTCACTCGGAGAGGAGGGTGGGAATAAGAGAGAAAGAGCGAAAAAAGCTTGTTGAGAGGAATAGCCAAGGAACCCTTTCTTGAGTGTGGAGACTGGGATTGAAGCCGGCCCCTAGCTTTACACATACACAAATCGTGTAGCAGCGTCTTTCTATAAATTTTTCCAGAAGGGAAAGTATATAGATCCCTTGTGGGTCTCAGACAACAGTACTATCAACTCCCTGCCCCCAACAGAAACACGGGCAGTCTGCAACCGTGCATGTAGTAAGATGGAGATAACAGCAGGGGATTAAGTTATATATAGCTTCTAAAGAGAGTATTTTTGGTCGACAGAGCTGTGGGTTAGTGGTCGTGTTTGTTATTGGTCAGTGTGCTATCTATACAGATACAGGTTCATGTAAAGTGCGTGCAGCTCGGCCCTCGCTGTGTAGTTTTGAGAGAAAGAGGGAGAGAGAACAGAAGCAAGTTACCATGTAAGGGTTCTCGATCTCTCTATTGAGCTGGTGAATTCGAGTGTGTGCTGGCATCAGGATCTTGCTGTACTGCTCCACCAGCTTGGTGAAGTAGTTGAACAGCGGGTGCTGCTTGCGGAGGAAGTCAAACTGGTAGTTCCTCTGCTCTCTCACCATCAGTTTGTCAAGGAACTGCGCTCCGTTCCGGGCCACAAACTGGGCTGTCAACTTCACAATGTCCCTGTGTGTAAAGTATAGGACCAATTTGCAAATAGTTACAATTTATACCCCCATGATATCTTCGCTGTTTTTGACCAGGAAACACTGGCCATTGATTTGGAGACCAGACCAAAAAAGTACTGTACTTCAGACACCCAAAATTTACAAAGGGACCTGAGACTCATACAAATTTGTGCCTAGTATAATTATACAATAACAGTCCAGGATATTAATCCTCTCACAGTTCCATGGAGGAGATGGAGGGAGGTTCGGCAATGAACTCAAAATCCGGGGGAGGGTCTTTCGGAGGCTCCGGCTCCAAAATCATCGTGATGGGGGCCTGCTTCAACATTGCCTGGGAGAGGAGGGGGAAATTGTTTGATGTGTCGTGGCGTTACGTTTTGCAGGGGGTGTAATGCATACACAACATCTGTAAGAGACTGTTTCTGCCAACTTTATATATGTTTTACCAAGCCCTAAACAAAAAAAACACGTTAGTTCATAAAACGGCATAATTATCCTTTGGAAAAAGGGAGGGGAGAAACAACTGCAAAATGTTTTTTTTGGGAGAGCGGATGAAAATATAAATATACTTATTTTCTGGGGTTCCACACACAACTGTAAAATTTTAGGGAGCAAACTATCCAAATTTTTGAGAGATTGTCTAGCGAAAATGAGGAGTCTCCCTATAAAGAGTTACACCATAAAGAAACAGTGCCACTGGAGCTCATTCACGCACATGTACACACCAAGTAAGGACACATACCTGGGCCTGTTGAGATGCAGCGGCGGCCGCTTCCTGTGCCACACCCTCTTGTATCTCGGTGATCTTGTGCCGGTAGTAGGCATGGTAGGGGTCGTTGGGCTTCAGGAAGTTGAACTTTGTGTTCCCGGCCTCGTTGATACGGATACGGTCCTCAAACTCCAGCCCTGACATTCACACACACACTGCCTGACTTTCTCACCTGTACCTATCAATTACTTAAGTATCGATGCCCTAGCCCTCGATTTAATACGGTCCTCAACTGACATTCACATGCACTATCACACACTCCATGACTTTCACACCCTACCTGTACTTAGACTATTAGAGAGACTGTCTCCCCAGCTATATGTTGTCCAATTGTCAACAGCACGCATGAAGTAATGAAAGTTATAAGGCTGGTGTACAAGTGTCCGAGACTCAAAAGAGAGATGAACAAGGGGCGTTAACGCTTAGGCTCTCTCCCTCATCTGCATGAGTTTTTTAGCCAGCTGATTCACAGGTCATGCATAAGGCATCGTGTGGGGATTGCAGGATACAGTTGATGCTAACTACTAACGATTTGCTATGCATACCACCACTACCCCTGTAGCGAGGTTGTGAGATGGGATTTTGCTGCAACTAGCACATCATCTCACCATTGCGTGCCACAAAGTCCGAAGTCTTGTCAACGATATCTAACGTGGGAAGTCAGGAAGACAACTGAAGTGAGAACTGCAAAACCAACCAACCATCTCCACACGAACCAATGAGGTCTTCACAAGGAAAACGTACATACTTCACTCACATAAATTCATCAAAAGATGCGCATTAATTGGAATCATTAGCGACAGTTTCACGCGGGCGCCAGCTTCGCAGTGGCTTTACAAAGAACGGCGGTGAATAACCTTGCCATTTTGTGTAGGATACTCCTAACTTCAGGAGGTGGATAGATAATACCCACCACCGACTTTGAGGCAGCGGCGGGCGCCTTCCCCGTCTCAGCCTGGGTCTGTCCCTGTGGCTTCTCCACCTCAACCTCGCCTGGCATCGTGGTTCACCGACCCTCTCCTGGCTGAAAGAACAGATAAGGAATCTTTCTCTTGCTGTGAACAAACAGCAGGCCCGCTCAAAAATCGACTGATCTAATTATCCGCGATTTTCCCAACGAACACGTGGAAAATTGAAACAAAAGTCAAAGGTCAGTCACGTTTGTCTCTGTGCCACTAGCTGCATTTACCGTTCTACGTTAGGCAAATGGGTACAGGCACTTCTCCGTCCACCGAAACGTAAGTTTAGAGTCTATGAATATGGAAACTGCTGAAGCACAGACGTTTACATTCGAAGAATTATGAAAACCTCACTCTCCCTCCCCTGATGAGGCCCCTACCGCCTTTTACTGGGAATTTTATTCTTTCAGAGCTGACACAGGCAAGCCCAGAGATGAGTCAAAGACAGAGGAGAAGAAGCTGAAGCCTTGCTGTGCGTGTCCAGAGACAAAGAAGGCACGTGACACTTGCATTGTGGAAAATGGAGAGGAAAACTGCCGAGAACTTATAGAGGCGCACAGAGCTTGTCTCAAGAAACATGGCTTCAATATATGATCCGCATATGCATAGCAGCTAGAACACTGTCACAGTATAATTATACAGTCCACACTATCCCAAGTTTGCGCATGCGCATAATTTCCGGGGTCGGGTATATACCGCCGGGTACCGGGTGGGATCGAGCGAACGTGCTGGGGCAAGGGGCGCGGTTCACTCGAAAAAATTCACCTGCTCGATCCTCCAGCAGCACGGGCCTAGCGATGAGCGATCGGGAGCTAAGGGACTTCAACAGCCGGCCGACGGCGCTGGGGAGCACGTGGAGGGAGACGGAGCTGTTGGCCTCGGTCAAACCCGTGGTCCAGGGCCAGTGGAACGAGACAGAGTTCTCTCTCTACAGATACACACCCAACTAGTTAGACTCTACCACAGTATTGACTATCTGTGCTGCTGCTAGCATACTGTGTGTAGTCCTAAGCGGCACTACTGCTTAGTTACTTATCTACTCTCTGTATTTCAGCCACTATGAGATGGCCACCGACGTTTTCCCCTCCAAAATTCCAGCTGAGCAAACCAGCGATAGAGGCTCTGGATTCAGGTGATCAATGGGAGAATATGATTTGCAACAGAATAATATGGCGCTGACTTTTTTGCTGCAGTCTCTCTCTCATTGGGTCGAGTGTTGCCAGTGACAGGGAGCATTTACTGAGAGAGCAGGTAAACGGGACCTGCTCATGTGTTTATAGAGGACACACTGGGACCACAATTTTTTCCCTTTATGCAGAGGTGTCCTTGTTGTTCAGTGGTTAATTACCAAAATGTCCTTTATACAGTCCTTTGTTCTGAGTGTACTTTAAAAGGAGGTTCCACTGTATGTGTGTGCATGTTTGAGTGACTGGTGCATTGTGTATGCAGATAGCTACCAAGATGAGTCAGAGCTCCTTGTACTGTGGCAGTGGTCAGGTCACCTCACTGGACCCCAGGTCGGCAGTAACTATATTAGAGGAACCAACCTCAGTATGAAGGACACACTACATACAATTGTCCTTTACACAGAGGTGCCCTTTAGTTAGAGGTTGATTAACGAAAGTATTAACACCGGATCGAACCAAGTGTTCTTTATAAAGAGCTGTCTTTTTTCGGAGTGTCAATTATGAAAGAGGTTCCACTGTTGCAAAAGGAACTTTTATGATTCAGTGGAGAATAATGCAGAGAACATTTTTTCTTCTTGATCTGCTTTATAGAAATAATCCCTGCCCAAAATATTATCAGGAAAGCTCTCATAAATTGCTGTCAAACTGCTCGCTTGATGTTTTCCCACTATATATCTCTACCCCAGTCTCGTTTTCCAACCCAAAATCTCTGGTCCTCCACAGCATATTTCCCCAGTCGTCTCAGGTGTACTACTGTCTGCTGGAGGCAGGCAGTGACAGGTCAGACAGTGCAGGGCGTGACACGGGGAGCACCGAGTCAGGACTGACCAGTCCCCTCAGAGTAGACTCCAAGAGACAGTATGTCGTCTGCTTTGCCACCATCGGGAAGACTGGACTGGATTTATATCCTTACCACTTAATTGTCAACGAGTAGAACCTTTGATAAAGAAAACTCCTGTACAGGTACCAGCTTACACTATGGTCATGTACTCTGTACTGAGTACCTGAGAGTTAGAATATCCGGTCAGTCCTCAGCACGTGGTCCAAAGCTCAAAATAAAAGACTCAATAGAATAGGGGACGCAAATTTAAGACACTTAATGTTCACTTTTCTCTGTTACATTTTAACCTCGAAAGAGAGGAAAACCTCCTTATAAGGATGATAGGTAGTGTAGACTGTGTCCATTACTCGGAGTTTCCACTGTAGTTGTGACATTGAATTTTCCTTAAAAGTGACTCACATTCAGAGCAGAGTTGGACAGCTTTTGTACACAAAGCATTGCACCTATCCTGCCTGACGAGGTCTCTGAGTGAACCCTGCTCGAACCACCTAATAATAATGATTTGTGCATTTTGTGTTGCAGTCAGCTGAGAGCGTGATGAAGTCTTTCGTAGGCTCCCCACTGCAATCTCTTATGGGGGAGTGGTTTACCCAGAGAGTAAGTATACTGTATAGATGATGTTCTTGAAATCTTAATTACTTACCAAATGGTACACTGTTTGGGTGCGTCATCGGGCAATGAAAAACTGAACCAAATTACTCGCTATATTATGTTAGCTTTATACAGCTTCAGTGTTTTTCGTTTTCATGAAAGGTGGAGTACATTGCACGTGTGATACAACTTTGCCAGAAGGTCCTGCCGGTTGTGCTACACATAGTGAGTTGGTACTTAACAGTGTGCAATACATTATTGAGCCCTTCTAGTATGTGTGTGTATAAGGTACGACCTGTCAGACGCTGCACGTGTACTGTAACATCTTCTGAATACGCGTGAAATGTGCAAAAGTTCGAACTGCTCTCTTCACTTGCCAATAATGCATTACATTAATTTGTCTAGTACAGTGGAACCTCGTTAGTACGAACACTGTTAAAGCGAAATACCTGCTTATTATAATATACGAACCACTTTGAAATCTCAAGGCATTATAACACTAATACAACTAGCTACTGTTATACTGAAATTCCTTTTTAATATGAAAATTTTTTTATGATCCCCTGGAGTTCATATTAACGAGGTTCGACTGTATACACAATGGATACCCTGTAACTGCAGGCAATAGACTCTGATGTAGAAGTGAGTGGACCAAATGAGTCCAATGTAAGAGATGTGAAACTGTGAGTTAAACGTGGTGTTGAAATGGCCATCTTCGTAATAATACGAGACTGTCTCCCTCACACGATAGGTTCCTGGACACCTGCAGTATGGCAAGCCTGATGCAGTTGGAGGGAGAAAAGGTATTACAGTCGTTATAATACATAGACCTTGATGCACTGTTGTTCTTTGCAGAAGATTGCACCGAGTCCACTCGCTCGCAACAAAGTCACCATCACTGCCTCTCACAACTCGTGTACACTCACCTCTGAAGGTTAGTATGAAACACTTGAATGATGATGATCTTCCCGCATAATTATGGATAATTACCTGGAGGGAGCTTGCAACAACTTGTAGTTGCAGCAATGAAACACAAACTAAGCAACTTACACGGGCAACTTAATCAGCTAGTTGCTAGCGAAAGGAAAGGGTTTTTTTGTGATTATGTTTCTAATGGATAATGGGTGTTGCCCTGTAATGAAGGTGTATAATATCCTGTTGTTATACAGAGACGTCCCAGTTCTGTTCCAACTGGGCCGAGGTGTTGCTGGCCCACGGGACCTCCAGCCCTGACCCCTTCTTCCTCAGACAGGCTGTGGAGAACTACAAACTGAAGGTCAAAACTGAAAACCAGTCGCTATATGGTTGTGTGTTTTACTCTGCGGTGTCTGTGTCAATATTGCAGATTGTTCAGGATCTGAATGCCTTCAAGAGACTGTTGAGAGAAGCAGAGTCTGACTATCACGCCCTCTATCGGTCAGTGCAACACCCAATCTTTGAATCAACATTGGGTGTGCAGTGTATACTCTGTGAAGTAGGAAACTTGTTGTGCTCAACTGACCAACACAGATTATAGGTGGATATTACAGTCCAACCTCCGATAAGGAGATCTATTGCACATTGCTATACTATGGGACTGTATATACCTGTAGCTCTAATAAATGGTTACAGTGGAACCTCCGATAAGGGACCCTTCGAGATAGGGACGACCTCTCTACAAAGGACACTTGTTTCAACCCCATGCTAATACGTATTATTTGACTTCCGAGATAGGGGCGGCCTCTCTACAAGGGACAAAATCATTGGCCCCATAGTGTCCCTTGTTCAGAGGTTCCACTGTATTCACAAACTAATGAAAGAGTTCTCCCTCTGAACTGAACTCTCTTGCTATAATCTATACACTGTATATACCGAATGTGTGTCACAGTTCTTGTGTGTACATAGTATGGAGAGGGAGAGGGGGAACAACGTTATGGCTGTTACATTCTTCCCTGATGCATGCAATTTTACTTATAAACTGCAGCTGTTACCTGTTCCTGTCTGTCTGTGGCAATGGGAGTCTGTTGCTGCAGTGTGTGCTGCAGGAGGCCACTGCACTGGAAGTGGCACCCACTCTCACCGTCCTGCAAGTCCTACAAACTTTCTCCCAGAAAAACGGGTTCAGAAAAATCACCAACGTGAAATAGTTCGTAGGCTTAGCTTTTCGCCAATCATTCAACTGATGCCCCCTTTAATGACGTATAAATAAATTTGCAAAGTTCACATAAAAATTTTTTGTACAGTGACATACACTACATTAGTATAGCACAAGACACTGCGACAGAAGATGAAAGGGAGTTCAGAACTTCTGGAACTGTTTCTTGCCACCTTTTCCCTTCTGCACCTTGAGCACGTTGAACCTCACTGTCTTACTGAGGGGGCGGCACTGGCCGGCCACCACCAGGTCACCTGGCTCAACATCCCTGCAGATGAGAGGGAGGAGGAGGGGGGGGAGGTAGGGTTTTAGAATGCTCTTGTACCCAGACCCTGCCATTAGGAGATGAAAAGGGTCTGGTGACTTGTGAGCCTGTGCCTGCCCCGGACAGTCTTACAATTGAGATGCCAATCAGATTGCAGTACTAGCTGATATTTTCGTAAAACAACTCGGTAAACCTGAGCAGATGCCCTCTACAAGCACAATGCCTATTCCAATCATCACTCTTCCTCTCCTGGGGGTGGGGTTTTTGGGGTTCAAATATCAACCCCAGACAAAAGAGGTCAGGGTTAGGGTGCTACTAACCTAAAACATGGCGAAACGTGACAGGAGATGTTCTTGTGTCTCTTCTCGTATCGTTTGTACTTCCTGATGTAGTGGAGGTAGTCTCGACGAATGACAAGTGTCCGCTTCATCTTTATGCTCTTCACGATGCCCGTGAGGATACGCCCACGGACGGACACATTACCAGTGAAGGGGCATTTCTTGTCAATGTAGGTGCCCTCGGTCGCCTGTGAGAGATAGAGAATGGGAAGTAACGGTGTGAGGGAAATAGACGATAAAAATTCCCAGCCTGGTAGCCAGCTCCAGCTCGAAAGGTCTAAGAGTAGGGTAGGGGGCTAGGGTTCGATTCTCTTCATTTAACGTCTTTTCTTTTTTTGTGCGAACTGACAGAGAAGAGGGAAGATGACTGCAGATCTTGGTGATTCCTTGCCACCAGATCTGGCCGAAGTGGCGCGGCGGGAACTCAACGAGACGCCGGCGGCTCGGACGGAATGCCTTATCCAATTCCGCCGCAGATTCACGCGAACCGCGCTCTGTTACGGAACGTGCAGCGATTTCCAAGTGAAAACTCTTGAGTGTCACCTCAAAGGTGACATCAGAATGACATACATGTAACCCTGATACAGGTTACAAGAACAACCAAAGCAACACATCAACAAGGCTTAGAGACAGCATTACGACAACCAGAACCACCGTACTTTGTACAACAACTCACGACGCACGTGCAACGAACCTCTCTAGGAGTCTTGAAGCCAAGGCCGACGTTTCTGACAAACCGCTGCTCCTTTTTCTTCTTCTTGCCGGTCAGGCCGGCCTTGCTGTTCAGGAACACCCCTCGCTGCTTCTGGAAGGCCCTCTCCGACTAGAGCATCACGTACAACGGGACTCATGTCACACAAACCGCCGCTAACCACCATCCTACTCACCTGCTCCGCCATCTTGTTCCGTAAAGGAAGGCACACGTGTCTCCGGTCCAAGATTAGTATTGGGCATGCGCATAATATCGACCTTTAACCCGACCTTTGCACTGCGGCAGATTATCGAAATGGCGAGTGTTTTTCAGGGTCTTTGGCGTCTACCGCTGTCGTTGGGAAGCCGCAGAGCTCCGCAGGTACACTTAGATTATGGTTTGCATTCTACTGTTCAATTTCTGAGCGTATTTCTGCGTGTTCTCTACGCTGTAGGTCGTTGTATTGAGAGGGTTAAGTGGTGCTACCTCAGATTCAGGTAATTTTCACTGAACCACTAATTGTACTACTCTTCTCCCTTCGTCTGTTAGTACTCATTGTGTCCCTACTAATTGTGGTATTGTATCTGTGTTGTTATTCTTGTCTGTTTTGTACAAATGGTGTGTATATTATTATAAATTTGTTCACAGCCTTATTTCAATGTCCATTCCTGTTCTACAAACTAAGCAATGTCCGAGTGCTGTAGCGAAAAGTGGTTGGTCTTAGCAGATCCATTTGCAGTAGTTTGCGTTCTCCCCTCCGATACAATACTGCTGTCCAAACCTAAAGCATTAGTGAATAGGATGTTAATAAAAACATTAACAACACAGTAATAGTATTTGTTAGCAATTGCCTAGCAACCAAACAGTTGTAAAAGCTGATTTTAAGGCCACAGGGAGGGTGTTGCTTATTAGAAAGTAGGTCATTGATGAACGGCTAACAATTCCTTTAATTGGAGTGCATTTGCCCATGTACCCCAATTAAAGGAATGTATAGTGCACCAAGGCATACATGTCCAAATTTATAACCTCCGCGCCTTATGAACTAACTAAAAAAACATAGCTGCATAAGACTAGATGACATTATTTTGTATACACCTACTATACACAGAGCTTGGAACACATACAATATGTCTCTAGGTGTGTCAGCTGGCCATTTAGTCATAACAGGTCCGTGTGTATACAAATATTGCCTGGTCCTAACAGTTGCTTGGCAGGAAAATTACAATTGTGATAAACCAAGGTCTCACCTGGACCAGTCTAGGCACCAAGACTGGTGGATGGGGTCCTCTCTGGATACACAGCAGGGACACATGCAGGACTGGGTTTTAGAGTTGTATCTGTTGGGGAAATGAAGAGACAGGTTTATAGAATCACTAGAGCTACGTAGCTTTTGAAGGCATCATTGTTAATCTCAGTTTGGTATATACTTTTAGGTGGCTCACTTGCAGTATTTTGTGTGGTCGTAGTCACAGGAAGCAGCCAGGCATTCGTCTGGCCCTCGAGAGTTTGAACATGTGAGCTTCTCGCACGCACAGTCGGCAGTCACTCGGTGACCTCGCCTGCATGCAGAGTGACACTCACAAGAACACTGTACGGGGTCCAAGACTTTGGGTGAAGGGCAGGAGAGCGGGCAAACACAGTCACAGGAGTCCCTGTCAAAGATGAAATTTGTCGGGCACTGTTTGGTGGTGGTGCACCGACACCCGCACGTGTTCTTGTCAAACGTGTGTCCACTTGGACAGGGCAGAGAAGGCGAGGGGCATTCACACTGACAGGTTTCTGTGCTGAAGATTTTTGGCAGTGTGCACTTTTCGACCCAGGCACACTCACATTCGCATGTGTGAGGATTGAACTTGTGCATTGCACTGCACGATTTGGCGCTATTATTGCACTCGCATGCACAGGTTTCATTGTTGAATACCTGACCAGTAGAGCATTTTGTGTGGGCCTTGCACTCGCACTGGCAGGTACTAGGGTTGAAAGACTTCCCCTGGCTGCATTTGGTGGTACTACTGCATTCACATCTGCAGGTGTTGTTGTTGAAAATCTGGTGCTCATTGCACGGCGTGTTGGATGGGCACTTGCAGCGACAGCTCTCAGGGTCAAACACCCTGGTACTTGGGGCACTTCTGGTGGCCAAACGGACATCTACACGTGCAGAGACGTTTGTCGAACCTCTGATTACCGGGGCAGGTTGCGGGTGTGGTCCCAGGACATCGGCAGCTACAAGTGTCGTCGTCAAAGATCTGTGGGAGGTAGGGACACGTCTGGCCTGCGTTGGGACACTCGCACTGACAGGTGTCTCTGTTCTGGCGTTTTGGTCCGGGGCAAGAGGCAGGCGGGCAGCGACATGTACACGTGGTGGGATCCATCACTTGGTTCGGCCTGACGCATCCACTCTTGCACCGGCACTCACAGGAAACCGGATCAAACACCTGCGGCGAGTAGCACTTGTGCTGTCGCGGACATTCGCACCGGCACGTGTCTGGGTTAAAGTTTTGTGCTCCCGGGCAGTTTATAACTGTCGGACAGCGACATTGGCAGTGTTTGTTGTCGTATGTTTGCTGGGGAGTGCAGGACTGTCTCCTCGGACACTCGCAGCGACAGGAGGTAGTGTTGTAGACATGTGGCAATTTACACCTGTGTGGGGCAGACCCACCGGGGCACTCACATCTGCAGGTGTTGTTATTGAACTCCTGGTTTTCCGGGCAGGAGAGGGTGGTTGGGCAGAGGCACTGACAGCTGTAGTCGTTAAATATCTGCCCTGGGGACACCTTTTCCGTCCAGACGGGCACTCACACTTACACGTATACGGATCGAGTTCCTGCGCTCCACTACACTTTGGTGTTGGTTGGGGACATTCACACTTGCAGGTTTTGTCGTTGATTCTTTTATTAGAGGGGCAGTAGGGGGATTTGGGACAGCGGCACGTGCAGGAGTACTCGTCAAACACCAGTGGAGGGAGGCAGGTACGTGGAGAGCCGGGAGGGCAGCTGCACGCACAGAGAAGGGGGTTAAAGTACTGAGCAGCTGTGCAGTGGGGGAGATCCGAGCACCCGCAGGAGCACGTTCTCTCGTTGAATCTCTGTTTTCCTGGGCACGAGGTGTTTCTTGGGCATCGACACTGGCAGCTTCTCTCGTCAAATATCTGGTTCTTCTGGCACCGTTGTCTGGTCTCGGCCGGACACTCGCACTGGCAGGACACACTGTTGAAGATCTGAGGACTAGCACACTCTCTGTGGTCTGACCCACACTCACATTGGCACGAGGTAGAGTTCAACACTTGCTTCCCCGTACAGTTGTAGGAGACCTTGGGGCACTTGCACAGGCAGTTAGCTTCGTCAAATATCTGTTTTCCGGGACACGTGTTTGGTTTGTAGGGACATTCGCACTCGCAGCTCGTGGTGTTGTAATTCTGCGAATGGGTGCAGCTTTGTCTGCTGGCGGTCGGACACTCGCACCGACAAGTGCTGGGGTTGAATATCTGTCTCCCGGGGCAGTCCAAGTAGTGGGGGCAGATGCAGCGACAGCTTTGTCGGTGGAATATCTGCCCGGATGTGCAGTGGGATGATGTGCGTGGACATTCACAGCTGCACGAGTACGGATTAAAGACCTGTGCTCTAGTGCACCTCATCTGAGACGGACATTCACAACTGCACATTTCGTTGTTAAACTGTTGATTCCCCGGACAGATTGGGCTACTCGGACACTCACACTCGCAAGTCTCCCGGTTGAATACTTTGCCTCCAGTGCACTGCTTGTGGTACTGATTCGTGCACTCGCATTTGCACGAAGCCTGGTTGAAAACTTTCGGTTTGGTGCAAGAAATTGTTGGTGTAGGACACTTGCACTGGCACGTATCGTCATCGAAAACCTGCGGTGGGTAACAGTAGCGTTTCGTCTTGCAGACACACCCACAGCTGGAATAGCTGAATGTTTTTCCCGACTGGCACTGACGTGGTTGCTGGCAAACACAATGACAGAGGTTGGTGTTGAAGGTGAACGGTGCGTCGCATGTCTCTCTTTGAGTACAGGAGCACGTACAGGCCTTCTGGTCGAGAGTAAATGGAGCTGGACACGTGTGTTGGTTCAGACCACACTGACACTTGCAGAGTCTGGGATTGAACAGGTAGCCCAGCGGACACTTCTGGTAGGTACACTTGCACTGGCAGCTTCGAGTGCTGAAGTACTGGCCGGACGGGCAGGATGTCACCTGGCAGCGCTGTCTGTGGGCCTCTGTCAACTAAATACAACATACAGAAGCAGTGTCACTTATACAGTTGACATATACAATTCCAATTGTGTATAGTGCCCACTTACAGAGGTAATGGTGGCCAAGAACAGTAGACATCCCAGTAGTAGATACGTGGATATGAGGCGAGTCAGAGTCATCTTTGCCCAAACCCTGCTTTGACACTGGACTACCAGTGACTCTGCTCAAGTGGCCTTTTTGTAACGTCAATACAGAGTAGAGTTGGTCATCCTTTAGGATTTTAGTGTAGTTGTGTCTCTGTGCATTAGACAAAACGGGTCAAGATATGGTCAATATTAGCACTGGGAGGTGAGGTGTGTGCCAACTCTCCCCTTTCTGTGTTTCTCTACGACTGTCCCATTGTGTTGAGAATAGAGGCTTTTTGTGGTTGAAAATTCAAACGCAGGTGAGTAGAGTGGTTCTTCTTTCTCCACTACATCCAGCTGAGGTAGCTCTGTCTCTCCCAAGTCAATCTCAGTGAAAGGCTGGACTCCTTCCGGCAGACGGTCTGCGTCTCTACCAGCTCTGTAGCGGCTGTAGTAAACAACACACTCGCAGCTACAAGTCTCGAGGTCGACATGCTGTAGGCGGTTACAGTCTGTCAGGGCCAGGGAGCACTCCTGGCAAAGGGCTGGCGTGCTGCACTTGCAGGAGAGCCTATCAAACACCTGTCCTTTGGGGCACTCCCCATCCGGCCGTCGCGACATCCGCACTTGCAGAGGATTGGATGAAGGATTTGGTTCCCAGGGCAGCTGGATGATTCACGTCCACACTGGCATTCACAGGTGTCGTTGTTGAACACCTGTCTACCGAGACAGGCAACTGGGTGGTTGGTGCACTCACACTGACATGTGTTTGGGTTCAGGGTCTTCCTGGGCCCACAGGATCTGGGTCGACACTGGCATTCGCAGGTGTTCATGTTGAATGACATACAGTGCGGGCTTGATCTGCACTCACATTGGCATGTGCTTGGGTTCAGGGTCTTCCTGGGCCCACAGGATCTGGGTCTACACCCACATTGGCACGTATCTCAATTGAGTGTCTTGTACTGTGAGCAGTCGCGCTGTCGTAGTCGGCATTGGCAATGGCAGTTGTCGTGGTTAAACATCTCGTTCGGCTCACACTGACGCTCTGCACCGTCACACTGACATGTCCCGGAGTCTCTGTCTGGTGGTAGACACCGTGGATCTTCTGGACACTCACAGCGACACATGGTTGGATTTTGTATCCTGTTTCTTGAGCAGTGGTTTGGGCACTCACATCGACATGTGCTTGTATTCAAGGTCTTTGGTGGCAGGGGTGGGCAATCAGTTTCCAGACACTCACACCGACACATTGCCTCGTTCAAGACCTTTGGAAGTTGACAGTGTAGTCTGCAGGTTCTACTTGAGCGCGCACGTGTCTGCTGTGAAAGAAGAGACAACCGAATTTGCAGAGATGAAGCTACATTAGTGTGAATTGTAGGGTACTTTCTTATAGCAATGTGTGGCTCAATTTTGTGTTTCAACTACACCCACAGTTGCATGGAACAATGCTGTCACCTTGGGTGGTTGGAGCACTCACACTGACATGTGTTTGGGTTCAGGGTCTTCCTGGGCCCACAGGATCTTAATTATGTGTATGAGAGTTATGTAATGTGTTTGTACAGTGGAACCTCTGATAAGGGACCCTCCAAGATAGGGACAACCTCTCTACAAAGGACATTTTGTTTGAACGCCATGCTAATACTTTTGGTATTTTTTTACCTCCAAGATAGGGACAGCCTCTCTACAAGGGACAAAATCATTTGCCCATAGTGTCCCTTGTTCGGGAGTTCCACTGTATACCCTATAGTCGTGCTTAAAACTGTCTTCTGTAAGTTTTTCTTTGTTACTTCATTCAAGACTAAAGTGTTTTTATCTGAAAATCACATAAGCAACAAAATATTTTGGAAAGTAGTGAACGCTTATACTAATCTTAGTTCTGAGTCAGTTTCTGTTTATTATGTAGTTCAGTAGGGTTCCTTGTAAAGATCTCCAGGCTTTTCTGGGCCCTCTTGGGGGGAGCCAGGGTAGTCGATTGGATAGTAATCTTCTGGCTTTTGAGGGCCTTCTTGTGGCGAGCCAGGTAATTCAGGAGATTCAAATGGATAATCGTCGTCGTCATTAGAGTCGTCATTGCAGCCATACCACTTGGCCCACCAAGGGCAGTAGCACTTGCACACCTCAGCGTCCATAGTCTTGAGCGTGGCACACTTTTTTGGGGGGCACTCGCACTCGCACGTGTACGGGTTGACTACCTTGATCCCCTCACACTGCTTGTCTACTGGGCACTGGCATTCGCAGGTGTCC